CCTATTCCCACTCATATTATGAATTTCATACTATGACAGCAGAACTGAGTGGTTGTGACAGAGATCACATGGTGCACAAAGCCTAAAAAACTTTCTATCTGGCCCTTTAAACAATAAATTTGTTGACTTCCATTCTAGGCCATAACTCAATAAATACCCAAAACTCAATAGATCTGAAAGAAATGAAATCATAGAAAGTATGTTTTCTAACCAGAATGGACTTAAACTAGAAACTGATAACATATACATTAAAAAAAAACACAAATTTTGGAAATGAAACATTACGTTTCTGAATAGCTCATGGGTCAAAGAGGAAGTCAAGAGAAAGATTTGAATGGTGACAGAAAGGAGATCATTGCATGCCTGGTGGATGGTAGGGGGGAAATAATTGGGAAGGGTCACAGGGAATTCTCCAGGACAACAGGAATGTTCTCTGTCTTACTATACTGTGATTAAGGGTAGGTATTCATCAGAATTTGTCAACTGAACACTTTAAATGGGTTCATGTTATTTTATGTATATTATACTTGAAATAAAGTTGATTCTTAAAAAAACCTGAGAACCACATAACAAGAGGAAAATGTTTATAAGGGTTAAGTAAAAGGAAAAAAAAGTAAGTATAGGCCATAAATTAAAAAGTGTTAATAAAACACAGCTAACTATGAAAAACAACGTAGTTTAGAAGTGAAAGGTCTAAGTTCAGAAGACCAAACCCTGAGTTCAAATCCTTACGGTAAGTTTCCTAAATCCACCGTGCTTCAGTTTCCTCACCTGCAAAATAGGGTAACAGTATCAATACCATAAAATGGCTGAGAAGATTAAACAAGTTATTAGGTGCAAAATGCTAAGAACAGTGCCTTTAACAAATACTCAGCAAATATGAACTATTATTAGAACAAGTACATGTGAGCAAAACACAGGAAATAAAAACAATATAGTAGCTATGGTGGAATGGTGTGAGATGATGGCAAATCTGTTTCGCTAACCAAAATGACTGTAAACTATAGCTATATGACTTTACAATCAAAATCTTAAATCAAAAAACAATCATCTCTGTACCTTGCTCTACAACTGCAATTTTTGCAGAAGTAGGGGATTAAATGGAGGAGGAAACATTAGGAGGAGACCTAAATGGAGGGAGTTATTAATGAGAGGAAGGAAGATATAGAAAAATAGGGCATGGCTTATTTTTCTTTACAATAATTTAAGTCCAGAAAATTTAATTACAAACTTTTCACTTTTACCGTAAGTGGAAAACCTTTATCCTATGTCACAAATAGATAGTAGCCATAAAAATAAATGCATTAAACCTCTTTTCCTCCGCTTATGGCCCAGCTCTTGGATCAGCCAATGCAATGGATTTTGGAACCTGAAAAGCCCTGCTGGCTCCAGGTGCTCAACAACTACCCGGCAGACGAGAGCTACATCGGGGAGTATGTGCCAGCACAGGCAGATGCGGCAGTATTTGAAGCAGTGGCCGGCCCACCACCTGCCCGACTTGTGTCATGCCTGACAATGGTATAATCACATCAAGTCTTACGAAAAAGAAAAGGCCAGACTGTCAGGACTGAAGAAAGCCTTGGGCAAGTATGGCCCTGCTAACGTGGAAGGCACCACAGAAAGTGGAGCTACAGACAGTAAAGATGAGGATGACGGTGATCTCTTTGGAGCTGAGGAGGAGGAGGGAAGTGAAGAAGCGAAGAAGCTAAAAGAAGAATGCTTTACACACTATGAGTCAAGGAAAGCCAAAAAACCCAACTTGTGGCCAAGTCTTCCATCTTCTCAGACGTGAAACCTTGGGATGAAGAGACAGGCATGGCAAAATTAGCGGAGTGCGTCAGAAGCAGTCAAGCAGACAGCTTTGTCTGGGGCTCTGCTAAACTAATTCCAGTGGGGTATGGAATTAAAAAACTGCCAATACAAGGTGTAGTTGAAGACGATCAAGTTGGAATAGATATGCTGGAGAAGTAGGTCACTACTTCTGAGGACTGCGTGCAGTCCATGGACATGGCAGCTTTCAACAAGACCTAAAATCCATAGTGGATCATTGCCCTTAAATAAAAGCTTAGAAGATAAAAATAAATAAGTAAATAAATGCATTAAAAAGCAAACGGTGTGGAAAGCAAACTTCTAGTTATATACAATTCTCTTTCTATTGAAAAAGGCAGATTAATACAGATCATGTATTTATTAGAGAGGCATTTAAGATAAATTTGTACCAAACTGACTTTCCCTTGGCATTATCAGAAAGACTGAAACAGAATTGATAGGTCAACATCTACACCAGGGAATCAACATTACTTAATATCTGTCCCTAGATCATCTCATAGCAGCAAGTGGCATATTCCTGGCCCCCACACTGTCAGGCACATTCTGAGGTTGCACGGCTTTGGCCAGAGGAAATCCTTCCTTCAGGTCAAACTGGACACTGATTCCGGCAGCTGTGAGTCTGGACCTAATGACCACACTCAGGTGGCAGGATTAAATGAGACTTTGCATAATAGGAACCTAATAAAAATTTGTTTTCTTTTAACATTGCTGAGATGGACTTCTCATTAAGAAATACCCTTCCACGTTGCTTCAACAACTTATCGCTATTAATTTATACTTTAGAATCTGCAAGGCACATACTAAGCCCTCAATAAATATTTGCTATTCCTATTGTTGTCAATGTTAATATCACCCCCACCACAAATGTTTGACTGCATATTTTGTGATAAAGCAGCCTCAGTAGGACTGCTCTATTTATCACTGAGCTTTATAACTAAAAGTTATAAGAATACCTATTAACTGGCCAGAAGTTCCTGTAACCTTTTTCAGAAATTGCTCTCAATACCTTAAGGCTTAGAAATTTCTATATTCAAATGCCACCCCTCCCCACTCTCCACCCACAGTAACCACAGCGTCTAACGTAAGTAATTTTACCCCTGACAGCCCCAGGCTGTACTTTTCCTTTTTTTTTTTT